TATCCTTATTGTATATGAGTTGTCTTCTAATATAATTACTCTTGCTTATATCTATATACTAGGTTTTATGCACGTGCAATGCACATGATCAAATATCATGATTAAGTATATTTGGTTTATTTCCTTACCAAAACTTCTTCATCGTTCCACTTTGATGGTTTTTGCTTACTTATATCTCCAAACTTTAGCATTGTGATTATTTATTTATTTTTAATATTTGTTTAAATAAACTACATCCAATTTAAATTTTTATATTGATAATTGAATTGATAGGAAATACATGTAATCCGAAATCAATTTGAATTATGATGTCATTGAGACTAACATGAAACCAACTTGACCTGAGAAAATATAGCATTGTAAAAGTAAAAAACACTTCAAAAAAAGCGTTCTAAAAGGAAAATGAATAATTAAAGCTCATAAGATAAGATGATTGGTTAAAAGTGGGCTAAAATGACACAAAAGATAATATGAAGTTTGTTCCTAATCCTTGATAGACTTTAAAAAAATTATAAAATAAATATTAATACTAAATCTAGTATACTTTTATATAATAAAAACATCCACATAAACATATAAAAGTACTAAAAAAGTTTACGAAAATTCCTTCCAAAAATTCCTAATTTACTCCAAAAAAACCTATTCTATAAAATATTCAGAAAATAGTACCTTTCATTCCTTCTGTTTTATTTTTTATTGAGACATTATCAATCCTTCTCCACCTTTATATTTTTTGATAAAATTAGACTACTTTTAGATGCCAAAAAAGGATAGTAAAACCTTAAAATAAAATTTAAATTTACATATCTTAATGAAAGAATATCAAACAACTACTATTTTTTCTTTGCTATGTTTTGAAATTTTAGTCGCTTTTTCGAGATTTTGAATTTTTAAGGGTGTGTTTTGCAAATTTTGAAACTTTGAGAGTGTTTTTAAAAAAATTTAAATTTTAAGTTGAGTGCTTAAAATTTTTATGTTTCATGTGTTGGTTGCAAGTTTTTTAATGTCAGAATATTTCTTACAACTCTGAATTTTGAGGGTATTTTTTATAATTATTAAAACTTTAGATTGTTTGTTACAAAATTTAAAATTTTAGCGGTCTGCTGATAATTTTGAGATTTGATATGTATTGGTTATAAGTTATTAAATTTTAGGATTTTGTGCGTTTTTTTAATTTTTGAAGGAGTTTTTCAGAATTTTTATAACTTTGAGGTTTTTTTTATAAATTTTAGTTTTTTAGTGTCTGATAGTAATTCATTGAATTTGTCTTTGTTGTTCGCAAGTTTTAAAATTTTAGAATTTCATAGTAATTTTTTATTATTTGAACTTTTGAGGGTGTTTTTATAGTTTTTAAAATACTGAGGGTTTCATGTTTGTTGTTTTAAGTTGTGAAACGTCTGGATGTTTTGTATAATTTTATACTTTTAAGGGTGTTTTGTATAATTTTTGAAACTTTTTGGGTTTTTTTGCAATCTTTATATATTATAGCTTATTAATTTTTAAATTATTAACATGTAAGTAGTTCACATAGGATTAGGATATGATATAATTATGATTATAATAAATTAAATTTAAATAAAATATTCAAATAGTCAAGGGTAATATTGACCCTGGAAAGATTTTCCCGAACTCGTATAATTTTGAGATTTGATATGTAGTGGTTATAAGTTATTAAAATTTAGGGTTTTCTGTGTTTTTTAATTTTCGAAGGAGTTTTTCAAAATATTTATAACTTTAAGGTTATTTTTTACAAATTTTAGTTTTTTAGTGTCTGATAGTAATTCCTTGAACTCGTCTTTGTTGTTCGCAAGTTTTGAAATTTCAGAATTTTATAGTGCTTTGTTATTATTTGAACTTTTGAAGGTGTTTTTATAGTTTTTAAAATATTGAGGGTTTCATGTTTGTTGTTTTAAGTTTTGAAACGTCTGGATGTTTTCTGTAATTTTGTACTTTTAAGGGTGTTTTGTGCAAATTTTGAAACTTTTGAGGGGTTTTTTTGTAATCTTCATATATTATAGCTTATTCATCTTTAAATTATTGACCTGTAAATAGTTCACATAGGATTAGGATAGGATATAATTATGATTATAATAAATTAAATTTAAATAAAATATTCAAATAGTGAAGGGTAATATTGACCATGGAAAGATTTTCACGAATTCGTATAATTTTGAGATTTGAAATGTATTGGTTATAAGTTATTAAATTTTAGGGTTTTATGTGTTTTTTAATTTTCGAAGGAGTTTTTCGGAATATTTATAACTTTGATGTTATTTTTTATAAATTTTAGTTTTTTTAGTGTCTGATAGTAATTCTTTGAATTCGTCTTTGTTGTTCGTAAGTTTTGAAATTTTATAATCTCATAGTGCTTTGTTATTATTTGAACTTTTGAGGGTGTTTTTATAATTTTTAAAATATTGCGGGTTTCATGTTTGTTATTTTAAATTTTGAAACGTCTGGATTTTTGTGTAATTTTATATTTTTAAGGGTGTTTTGTATAACTTTTGAAACTTTTTGGGGGTTTTTGCAATCTTCATATATTATAGCTTATTAATATTAACCATATAAAGATTTTCCCTAACTCGTACTTTTAAAGAGAGTATGATTGATGTACCAACTTACTCAATAATACACAATATTTTCCCAATTTCTGATTAACAAGTATCATCAATATTATCATATCCATCCAAGTTTAACTGCTTGAATATTGCTAATATTCCTTGTGCTTAACATGTAGCAATACTAAAATTGCTCTCCGCGATAAGCAAAGTTAATCATAAGCTTTCTTAACTGTCTTAAAGTTTCTTCCATTCTACAGTAAATAATCTCAAGCTGCAGTCCCTTACATGTATACTGGTTTATAGTATCCGATCCGAGTCCAATCCGAATCTGATCCAACCCAAATCAAATCCACCAATAGCCCACTGAAATCTTTCCGAGGCTGAATCGGACAGAGTATTTAATGAAACTTCTATAAACCTCATGACAAATCCCAGTTCTCTGTTCATACGAACAAAGTTAAATTAAAAAATATATTTATATATTATACAGTTTAAGAGGATAAGAACCAAGCAAATATAAAACCAAGCCAAGGTCTAGTCTTCATAATAAAAAAAACTCACTGGTTTCTGTTTTAGAGAAGAGCTCATGGGGTCTCTAATGGCAGGATGGGATTCAAGCTTCCAGGATCCTGAGCAAGGTAATATTACACATTTTCTCGTATCTTCACCATTTCTGGGTTTAATACTTAATTCTGACCCTTTTTTTTACAGTTACATATCAGAGGAACAAATCACTGACAAAAGATGAGATTGCTGCATACTGGAAATCAATGAATAAACCTGAAGAAAATAATGAAAACCAGGTAAATATTTTTTGCAATATTAGATTAATTTGTGAGGATTCATAATTGATTTTTTTTTTAAATTTGTGGAAGGAGAATATGCATGGAGGATCAACGCAGGAGTTGAAGAGATCACACTCATTGCCTCTGACTGATAAAATGAAAGCTTCACTGATCCCTGGATCAAAGGATGATGGTGATGAAAAGTTAAGCAGGATTAATTGCTGGTATAATTCTACTCTTTAGGAAAAAATTTATGCATCTTCCAAATTGTTTTTTTTTTCTTTTGTGCTTCAAACTCACTTTTTGTGAGGATTTGTCTTATATTTTATATTTTATAGGTGGATTGTAGGTTTTAGTGCTGGAAGTGTTAGAATTATACCTTATAAGGGTCGCAAACTTTTAATATAATTATTTCTAAAGAATCAGCAGTTATCCATTCCATAATAATTAGAATAATTTTCGCTTGAAGTCTTTATATTATACTCTAGTGTAACATCACCATAGCAAGAACAAGTTTTTGTTCCGGAATCTGTTGGAATCAACTACATCAATCATACTCCTATATTTTATCTTTTTATAGTAACTGTTAACTTAAAATTATATAATCCAACATAATTTCTAGGGAGCTGAGTGCCTGCTATTTAACTTGATTTCAAGGTTTGAATCTGGATCGCTAAAATATTTACTTTCATTAAAATTGTAAGTTTTGAT